TACGATGAAGATGTTACTGACACGCAAATTTTTTAACTCGTAAATTCATGCTGTGAAGCAAGATGACACAGTGACTGTTGCACTTACTGCGATCTTGACCCATCCTAAGATAAAAACCTAAAGAGGGATCCAACATGAATAGAACATTATTGCAAACGTATGACACAATTTATGATAACACAGAGTAATTAGCATAGCTAAGTGAATTTCAGATACTTCTTGTGCTGTAGGAAAGGAGAACTTCTCCAAAAAAAACGAGCAGATACAAGGAATTACATTAACGATATATGAGCCATCTTTAGTACTCCGTATATTCATCAGCTTTGAGTGGTCTAAGTTAGTTTTTTTTTCCTCTCAGCAAACTCTTGGAGCTTTACTATTTGAAAAAGGCAGATGCTAACATCAACATTAGGCAACAGATCAAGAAATCATGTGCAATTGAAGAATCCACTAACAAATCAATTACTTTTTAGGGTTAATTGCAACTGCTACTCTTAATTAAGAATGTACAAAAACAAGGATACTAGGAAAGGTAAGAAAAAAGGGGAAAATATTCCAGAAAGGAAAATGCAAGGAAAGGAGTCTTCTAAACAACTGCCACTGCTTTATTCCTTAATTGTGTCCAGGAAGAGCAAGAAAAATCAACTGGTCACATTGTTAACTCCACTAAAGAGTACATTTCATATATTAGCTGCTGGAATTGAAGATAAAATCAAGATGTTTACACAGTTGTGGAAGCACAGTAGCACTAGCATGCAGTCCTATCCTCTACATAATTAATGCAATGCATCAGAATATCCCATAGATATAGCATAAGACAGAAAACTTTCGTTTGCCCACAGATTTCTATGAAAATTGTAGTAGAAGAACTGAAGAAGCCATGAGGCCATGACTATAATTTGCAAATTACTTAAAAAAAAAAAAAAACAACAGTAGAAAAGGCAAAATAAGTGAGAAAGCATAATTACACTATAGTGATTTAGCTGCGAGTTCAGAAGAGAATACCACAAGTACACAACATAATCTATCAATAATAAGACTTTGAATAGATATTTCTAGATCCACAGCAGTCTAATAAACAGCAAATTTACCATGCTTCTGAAATAGCAATATATATTAGGAACTAGGAAGTGGTGACTGGTGAGGTGATATTACCTCAACTATGGAGGTGTTCTAGCATTAAATTTGCAAAAGAGAACATGTTGGTCAGCAAGGAATCTGCATTACACAAGCAAATCAATTTTTTCAGAAAAATATAAAGATAAAAATAAAATGGAGCCATTATCATAGAATAATCCACATATTTTCGGTAATATTAAGAAACATCTTTTTTACTGTTTCTATTATTTATTTTTCTGTAAGAAATGCCATTCAACTACTCGTTTCAAGCATAAATGGAGTTGCTAATTAGGTCTCGGTGAAAATTCAAACAAAACAATTACAACAGCACATTAAGCTCTGGCAACACAGAAACAAACAAACAATCTGTTTTTATGCAGTTCAATTTAATTCTTATAATGAATTCAAAGAAAAATTTACGCAAAAACACAGTGTACAAGACATACAGATGATGAAAATTATATGTGATGCAGCTTTAGCACATACGAAAAGAAACTGAGCGAAGGGAGGGCACATGTACTAAAACAAGATAGGGTTAAAAGAAGCGAAACTGATCAATTAAAAGGGGAAATTAGGACAGTGCAGAAGCATTAAAGATGAGACAGCACATACACATACACACACAAACACCTAAGGTGAGCATAAATCACAAAATACAAATTTCCAGAGATAAATAGTACATTGGATGAAAGCAACAAATAAGATATCACAATTCCAAAAGAACTTTGACGGTAGGATACAAGTTTGGTCTCCCGAAAGGAATGATGAAAATAGTATAAAAAATCTAGGAGATTTTCAAGCGGAAGATCTTTGAGAAAGATATTGAACCAGGACGGAAAGGGGGTAAAAGTCAAGTCTAGGCATACATAGCACAAAAAGACTTGGTTTGATGGTAGTTTAATTCTCGAGCCAAGAGAAAGACTAACAACCAAAGGAAACACCATTGAGCAGACAAAAAGTAAGTCAAATTCCTTGACAGTGGACATCCAAATTCCCCAAGTTCTACTCTTTCACCAAAGGGGGGAAACAGAAGACATCTTAATCAACCATGAATCACTCCAACATAGAACAGCATTAATCATCAAAAAGAATAAGAAATTCCTCCTTAGCAATATGAGTAGGCTGTTTCCTAAGATTTTCTCACAATTCAACCGATAAGGGAGGGCAAGGAAGTTTACATAATCATGTACATTTGTACTGTATATCACCTTTGCTTCAGATAACATTTCTTGTAATCAACTTTGGTCAACCGTACATACACTTAACTTCATATCCTCTCTCAAGCCTGTTACTTCCACGATATCATTTGCCATCTCTAATCTATAAACCTCAAAAAATCCGAAAAATTCAGTACCGGACAAGTGGCCACGCCACAGAAAAGGGAGAATCAGATTCCATCATAAGCCAATTGGTGATATGTTGCTCCTTTCAGGAAATGAGATCACAAGTTTTCGATAGATTTGCGCTATACGATGAGCAAGAAATTGAATTCTAATAGTATAATGTAACTAAATCCCCGGCAACTCAAGTATCCAATTGTCCAAAGCAGACCAATTTATACTCGAAACCGAAACAATTAAGCTTATCAACACAAACAACACTACACATACAGAGCCAATCAACCAAATACTCAATTACTTCAATTTCTACAGAATTCACCAAAATGAGCTCAAGTCAAACACCCCCAAACAATCAAAAACCCCAAACCCCAAAAACCCCACAAAACCCAGTCAACCCGAGAAAAAATAATCCAAATTAACAATAAATCAGCCATATAAACAACCCTAAAAAACTCAAAAATCAGAAATCAGCAATCAAATTAAGCAAAAATCAACCAAGTAAAACACTAATAAACATAAATTCAAGCAAATGATGAAAACTATGCTGATCAAAGCAAACAAAAAACACCCAAAAAAAGTAAAAATAAAACAGATAAAATCAAATGCAAAGAGTTCAAATTGAAGCTTACCATAGCAAGAGGAAAAAATGGAGGAGAGAGTAAAAAAGAGTGTAAGAAAGAGAGAGAGAAACCCTAAATCGGAGGGAATATAGTAAATGAGAAATGTGGGAGGAACAGTTGGGGGTGGGGGATGGGGAAGAGAGAGAAAAAATAGGTGATGAAAATGATAAAAATTAAAGTAAAATTAATTATAGTAGTAGAAAATAAAAAAGAATTTCTTTAGACTTTCTTTGTCTGATCACTGTAAATTTATTTTTTTTTATAAAAAATAAATTTTGAGATTGTCTTTTTTTCTTTTTTGATTTCAAGCTTTTACTGTTTTCAGACTTCAGTGGACTAATTCAGCGTGGTGTGTAACTTGGTTGATGAGAAATGTTTTAGAGCGATTTCCTTAAATAATGCTAATTTCTTGACTTTAGGCATACTTATAACGTACCTATAAATGATTTTACCGATTTTTGTGCTCTTATAAATATATTGATGTTTTTCGAGTATTGCTATTCCAAAAAAAAAAAAAAAAAGGTTTTTCGAGTATTAATTTAAGATACAGAAAATGTACATGTACAATGTATTTGTATATTTTTTTACCATTTATAAATGATTTTAATAATTAAAACAATAAACAATAGGTCTTTTAGTGTATTGTGTATATATAATCATACATCAATTTTTTGGATAGTAAAGCTCTCCACTTAATCATGATGAGGTCAATAGGTAATTTTGCCTATTCTTTTCTGTCATGAGGAAGATAATTATTGCTTTTCAATAGTAATTACTATGTGTATTATTTTCAATGATAATTATTGTTTTCAATATAAACTATTGTTATTAGGCTTTAATCAGTGGATTCCTTTTATGTGTATTATTTTGAAACATTAATATACTCTTTTTGTAACATAATATATTATCTAATTTTTGTCAAATATGTACTACATACTATATCGGTCGATGAAACCGTGTACATTGTAATTAAAGCTCAATGACAATACATGACTTCCCAGTATCCCACCATGTGTCACTATTAGTTTAAGATAAAAATGTTATCGACAATTTTCACACTAACATGTGTGTATATACTTATAAATAAATAAAACACCTTGGTACAATGATACATAAAACATAACTAATATTTTAATTCATGGAAATTGTTCACCTTATATTTAATTAGTACAAAAACTATAATTGGTTTGGAGTATCATTAGGAAGTGTAAGGCTATGAGCCTTTGATTTATTGTCCTAGCTGAAATGTTACAATTTACCATTGTTACCGTGAGATTAATTGTGTTACAGATATGGTTTCAGTTGGACTTTTGTGGCATTTAATTGAGGATTGTAGCGGAGTGACTTGTTAAAAAAGTGTCATGACAGTTTAACTAATTTGTCTTTTCACTTATTTTGTGCTTAGTTTTGCCTTTTTGTATGCCTTTTTACTTCATTTCTTGCTTTTATTAAGGGGTTTTGCCAATTTGCCATTTTGCCCTCTCTTAAAAAATGTAATTGTGTATGGGATCATCATGATCTACACCTTTATTTACATTTACCAAAAATCAATGAATGGGTAAATTTTGTTACAATCGCACTAATATTGCCATATACATTTTTTAATTTTATTTGACAGGAATTATGCCATATATTATTGATCTAAATATATACAAATCTTAAAGGTCAATATCATTGATCTTTATTAATTACAGTGACATAAAACCTCCTTTGACTAAATAAAAAGGGGGAAATTGTTATGACCAGTTAATACTTTAATTTCCCAAATAAAGTAATTGCAACAAACTAATGGGGATCACAAAAATAGTAGGATACGTCTTACATATGCTAAGATTAAAGTGGTTTCCATTTTAATTGAAATTAGTGTCAATGTGACTCATTTTTCCTTTTAGCTGTGCATCACTTGCTAATCTTATACTGGTAAGATTAAAAGAATCATATTCTGCACTTTATACTTTCACTTAAAAAAGATTCACAACAGTGACATGCCACAATTTACTTGAGAATATACAAATCATTGTACCTGATTAAGTAAAGGAAGTTATAGAATAACAAGCTAACAACATTTCCGAGGGGGACTTCTACCTAAAAAAAATCTCGGAGATGTAGAAGTTCATCAGAGGCAGAGCAAAGCGTGACATAAAGCGTAGCATGAAGATTTATAGGCGGTCTGATGTTCATCTTCTTTCCCAAAGGCTGAATCGACACAGGCTTTCTGCAGCATATTCGAAACTAATGGTGCAAGTGCTAGTGCAAAATTTGGCAAAAGTATTTGATTGATTGCACCTGACTGGCTGTGTATACTTGGAAGCTGTTGCACAAAGCCATCAGACAGAAATAATTACTAAGGCTATTGATTTCTGATGTGCACCCAAACATGGAAGCTGTTGCACAAAGCCATTAGACGCAAGCATCTAATCGGTGTTTGTTTTCTTCTCTATGCTTGATTTAGTGAGTATGAATACACCAACTACAATCAGTAAAGCACCTGCGAACCACTGTTGCCAGAATTGAGAATTACAGAAATAAATTAGCATGGCATTAAAAAAGGCATTATACGTATAATATATGCGTATATGATGATTGGCAAGATTTAATATGGACAAAGACTTGGGGCTATGGACAAAGACATGGAGCTGTGAAGTGGAATCTGGCTAGAACACCAGACATTCAAAAGAAATTGTAGCACAAGTAGTAGATTAAACTTTAAAATATACAGTTCACCAAATCATAACATGTACTAAAGATGGTAACTAAGATGTACGGTTTTTACTTTGTTCTTAATTGTGTAACTATGCAAAAACTTCGAAGGAGTGATTTTTACTTGTTTTACATCTGTCCAGTACTCCATACAATAATTTAATCTCATTGATCGACTCAAATAAACAGCTTCAGTCAGATGGGAAAACAAATTAATGCCTACACAATTCCATTGGAACTATAAGACCAAGCAAGCTCATATATATATGGTTCATATTAATCTTTAGTTTATCTAACAAGAGTTTATCAGATAAGGCCTTTCGTATTACAGCTGCAGCACTTTTATATGTTAGTTACTTTCCAAGAAGAAACCCATTTGTAAAAGAGAACTAGGATAGCTTAGCTTAACATGAGGATTGAGGAAGACATTGAACATCAATAAAATCATGGTCAAAGTTGTCAAACTAAGATCATAACATTGACCAATATGGTTTGTCCAAATATGCAATGCACAAAAGAATCTATATAGAAGAAAGGAAATTCACAAGAATGAGACTTTCTTTACCTTGGCTGATAATGTCTCTCCAAATAAAAAGAAACCAGCCAAACCAGAGGAGAGGAAATTTGTAGCAAAGTTTGTCACAGTAGCTTGTAGAGATGAAAGTGCTCTAAGGCTGTTGACGTAGCATCCCCACATTGTCACATTAAACGCAATTACAAGGCCGTATTTGACAAGCTGGTCACAAAAAAATATCCACATTAGCTACTGCTTAAGTTACCTATACATAACATACTTGGGTCCAGGAACAATGCAATGCTCAATACACAAAAACTATTTCACCGTGATAATAAAAATGACACCCCGGCCAAAATACCCATTACCCAGCACACACTCGACCAAAAATATATCCCAGTGAAGGCTGTGAAGTTTTAATAGCTGCAAGTATTACACACAAGACTACAGGGGGATTGTCTTGCTTCATTCCCTTGGCGAAAACAGGAGAAAATTAACCAAAAAAAAAAAAAAGCTCCATAAAAGATGATGTTGGAAACTAAGGGTGTTGTTCCAACATGCCATTCAGAACAATGTGCATGATAAGCACATCTACAAGACTACATCACATTAAGTTTATGCGTCAGGATATATCAAACCCTCATTGTTATGTATCATCGCTCATCAGGATAAGAGCTCTATTATTGCAGTAAAATAGGGTTTACATTGTAGTTTCGTTACAATGCATACAGTAACAGAAATGTGGGCGTAAGGGAGCTCTTCTCGTAGAAAACAGAAGAGAAAGAGAGAGAGAGAGGAAAAAAAAGCCTAACTGATTTTTTAAGCTAATGAACTCCAGAGCTTAGAAAAGAAGAATCTAACTGAAAGTTGTCAAATCCACAAGCTGAGCTGGCGAGTGGAGATTAGATTCATACAGAAGGAAATGTAAATATAGAGGCAACTTGAAGCAGAACCCAAAGAAGTATCATAGGGTTCAAAAATCACTAGCATGCAGGAATTCAAGATCGTTAAATAAAAGTGTACCAAAAAGTTTTTGAGCTAAGATAGCAATAAAAGCCAAAATGAAAAAGGGAGGAAGCTTGGAATATAGTATCCAATGAAGGATTAGAGTCAACATCTGGGTTGGTAACATACTAATATTGGAATCGTGCAATTCACAATTACTAAGCCTAACTTAGGTTCACTTCTAACCATTGTCTTAAAAAGCAAACAGAAGCAACAATACATTAATACCCATTAATTTGCCTGAGTATCAGATAGATTCTAAATTCTAACTATTCATCCTTCAATTCTTCCTGTTCCCTTCTAGCTAGGTTATATAAAAGACAAGCAAGTAAACTCCAATTACCACCATATGCTGTCTCTTCATCTATGTCATTTTTAGTTTTTTACATCGAATTATCCATAATTTACTCACTTCCAGCTTGATTTAAATTGTCTACGGAGTCTGGAGACTCAACTTCTATGGATTCTACTCATATTCTCTTTCTACCTTCCCATCATTATATAACACCATAGTACATAGAAGATCAACATACTTATCTTGCCATATTCACTACTACTATCAATGGCATACACTCAGCATGTAAGACCAGTTGCCCAATATGTTGCCCGTGAATATATGATACCAATGGTTCACATTTGCCAGGCACTGCTACGCATAGCCTACACCAAAGGCCGTGTATGGTACTGGCAATGGTACTTCCCATATGGTATTTTGCCTTGCAACTTGTTTCGTACGATGTAAATTACCGACTTTTGTGATATCACATAAAACAATTCTTGTTTGTCCATTACAGTGCATCTTAGCAAGGTAACAAGCTAATCATAGCCTACACCAAAGGCGGCGTAGAGCACCAACAGGCAAGATCCTAAACTAAAAGACAGAGATCGATCTTCGAGTGCATCACCACAACATGTCGAATCTCTCACCACAACAAACTCCAATCAAAGCCCTTTCCATGTCAAAAAAGCAGCAGCATTTCCAAATTAACCAGAGATTATTCGTGATGTCTACTTAACAAGGTCAGACCAAAAATCAAGCTCCAATATGATCTTCATTGCTCAATTAGACCCTCAAAAAATCCAATTTTTTCCCAACTTAATCAATCCCAGTTCATAAATTTGCTTTCTAACAGAATTCAGGCTAATTTCAGATCTAATTTCCATGGATGACCAAATTTCACATACCAAATTCAGCAACTTGATTTGTTCAATTTTTCTCAAAAACTAATCTAATTAATCAAACCCCATTTGAATCCCCATAATAAAATCACAAGAAAATAAACTGAAGAGTAAATTATGGCAAAAATGAGTAAGAAAATGAAAGAAATTAGCACCTGAGAAGAGAAGAACTTTGCAGAAATGGCAGCTAAGGCAGCGGTGAAGCCCGCTGCTACTGCCCATGCGTAACCTTTACTCTCTCTCTCCTTACTTCCCATCTCTGTCTCCGAGCTGCTGGGATGCCTCGATATGTGATCTCGTCAACTCATAGTATGTTACTCCATGTCGAGAAAATTGACCCATATCAGATTACCCGACTTGAAAGTGAAAATACGTGAATCGAAATTCAAATACTACCCAACCCTATTCAAACCAACTTGACCCGTAGAAAATGACATGGCAAACAAAACGAACAATATTAAAGGTGTATTCTATTCACCTTATTATTTGAACTTATTAAAACGTTATTTTAGTTGTAAGTAGATTAGTTTTCACACGTTGCACGGTGGTGATAAGTAATTTTTTTTCATAATTCTTTCATTTTTTTGGTTGTCAATAACTTTTTAACTGAGTCGGCTTGAGTAGTTAATAGATTTGTATTCGAATAACCATTATTAAAACTTATTAAATCTGAATTAAACTTATCTGAACTTATTACACCATAAATAAGTAAAATAAATAAGTGAAAATAAGATGAACAGAATAGAGTTTGTAATGTTTTGTTCACCTTATTTTCACCTATTTCAAGTGTTATAAGGGCTTGTTCTTATAGATTGAACTCAGCTGAATTGAACTGAACTGAACTGAAGTTAGCTGAACTGAACTGAATTGAATTGAGCTGAAACTGAACTGAACTGATCTAAACTGAACTAAACTGAATTGAGCTGAGTTGAGTTGAACTGAACTAAACTGAATTGAACTGAGGTGAGCTGAGCTGCACTGAACTGAATTGAGCTGAGCTGAACTAAACTGAACTGAACTAAACTGAATTGAGCTGAGCTGAACTGAACTGAGCTGAGCTGAACTGATCTGATCTGAACTGAATTGAGCTGAGCTGAACTGAACTGAGCTGAGCTGAACTGAAATGAATTGAAAATAAACGTATGAGAACAGGCTATAACTTCAAATAATTTTAGTTTATAAAAAATAAGCTCTGATAAGGGTTACTAAATACGGTGTACAAATTACAACCAAAATAAGTTTTAATATGTTCTAATTAGTTCAGGTAATTTCGGATAAGTTGAGATAAATTCAAATTGATGAAAATTAAGTGAATTGAACATACCCTAATTCGACCCAGACTCATAATCAACTCTAAACAGTTTCACCCAAAACACATTTCAACCTAAATTGAACCAATCTAATCTAATTGTCTCCTTCCCACAATGTGAAAAAAATTAATTTTTAAGTAAGAAAAATAATTTCATTTTTTTTTTAAATTTGGCTTAACATTGGACTCAACTAGAGTCGAAATTTTTTTAAGCTCAATAATCATTTATTAGTCAATATTATGGTTGAAATAGTTGAGGTATCATTTATTTTCGCATGTAGGCTTGTGTAAAATACATTTAAGGTCTATTTTGATTGACTAAACTAAGTTGAATTAAAGCTGAGCTGAGCTGAGCTGAATTATTTATGAGATAACGAAATTATGAACTAAACTGAACTAAAATTAAGTTGAAGAGAACATGTCCTTATTTTACTCATCTGATTTTCACAGTTTCACTTAACTAAACTTTTTTTTTTTTTTTCCTGAATTGAATTTATCTGAACTCATATAAACTTGATATAAGTGAAGATACAGTGAACTATATAGGCCCTACTCACATGAACTATGTTCAATGTAATTTTTTTGAAATTTTTTTTCAATATATTTAATTGAAAAGTATTGTACAAATCACAATAAACCCTTTGTCCCTATTTTCACCCTATGACCAGTGTTATGTCAAATTTTGACCTTAATTTCTCAATAATCTATAAGAACTAATACAGTCATATGTAATCTTATTGAATTCGTCTCATTGTATATTTTATTAATTTGAAGTTTTTTTTTATTTTTTTTATTTATTTCCTAACACACATGGAATATAGAGATACATACGTTTTAGAGACATGAAAATCAAACGGGATAAAAAAATAGGTACGTAGAGAATACTTTATGCTGGTTAGCTATGAGTATTAAGCTAATTAAAAATTGGTGGGGAACTCAGGGGCGGAGCTACAGGGGGGGCTGGCAGAGGCCCGACCCCTGTAGCCCAAACCCGTGTCCCTTATTTTTATTAATTGGCCCCTGCAGTTTTTTAGTATATATACTAAAGATTTCACAACATTGTTGATGATATTTAGTGGCTTGGTGGTATGTGGACTTGTAGCAATTCTCCTTGGTCAAAAGTTCAATCCTACTAAGTGACATTAGGGTTTTTTTTTTTTTTTTTTTTTTTTTTTTTTTTTTTTTTTTCAATCTTTTTTTCTCCCAAATTCTATACTCTTCAATCCTACTATCAGTGACTATAGTAGATTTTTTTTTCTCTTTGTTTTTTACCCAAATCCTACACTAAACTTCTTAAACTCTTCAATAAGTGTTTATTCTTCAATCTTCTACTTGTATTCACTCGGGTAATTTTTATTTTGTTTTATAAATTACCACATTTATTGTATTATAATTCAAATTACCACCTTAATTGTATAAAAATTTAAATTTTTTACTTATATCTAATTATTTAGTAATATTTTGTTTAGAAATTCACCTTTTTTTTTTGGATGATATGATTATTATAATATTGAAAAAGAAACTCTTAATTTTTAAAGTGAGTGGTTGATAGTCAACAAGTGGAATTATACCAATTTTGTACATAGGAAAATAGGTTGCCAATAATTTTAACATGTAATCTATTATTGAAATTTTTTTAATAGAAAAATCATAAATCGCGATTTAGAAAAAATTTGTTAGAAAAAATTTATTATCGCCCCCCCGAGCTTAAAAAGCCTGGCTTCGCCCACCTTATGACTTTGAGGTCACAAGTTCGAGCCCCTCTAAATATAAAATGCTTGGGAGTAGAGGGATTCCCTTACCTCCCCATCTACTCTCAAGTGCTGACCTGTGGAGTTGGACTGACTAAATTTGTGACACATGTCAATTTAGAGGGTCTTTCATCTTACCCAAAAAAAAAAAAAAATTCAAAAATACTTGGGCCTATGGGCTCTCCAATTGAGATTTAAATTGTAAATATTGAACAAAATGAACCCGGCTCAAAGTTCATAATTTGGTCCATACAATTACGTAAATCATTTAACAATCTGACAATTACCGACCTTCTAGAGAGTGATCAAAAGATAATTACTCCGTATTTAATTAATTAATCAGATAAAAGAAACACAAAAGATGTTACTAATCCGCCTACCCATAAAACTAATCAATCAGAACTCAGTATCTCAAACATCAGGATCGATGACGTGTCAAATTAGACAGTAACGATTACGTGTCCATGCCCCCCACTTTCAACCAATCCGCACCCATTTATCTCTCTCTCTTATAAATACGCTCCCAATATCAAATTCCCATAAATCATCCAATCAATTTAATTAAATCCTGCTTCTTTCTCTTCGATTCCAAAACCCTAATTCCCGATCTTCAGGTACAATCTCTCTTCTATTCTGCTCTATCTGTATTGTTCTGATTGATTTCTTTGATTGGTTATCTTGTTTGTTTGAATGTTGGCTAATTTTTAATAATTTCTGGGGTTTTTATGCAGTTTTTTCGTTTGAATTTGATTTCCAATGGCTCGTACTAAGCAAACTGCTCGTAAATCTACCGGTGGTAAGGCTCCCAGGAAGCAGCTTGCTACCAAGGTATTTCATCTTTCTAATGGTTTCCTCTTATTAATTCGTCAAATTATTTGGGTTTTTTTCGATTCAATTCAATTTGTTAAATAAATTGGGGGTTTTTTCGATTCAATATATTTTGCTTTGAAATTGGGGTTTGTTTTAATTCAATTCAATTAAGAAATTGGGGTTCTTGTTTCAATATTCAATTCAATTCGTTCAAATTTTGGGGTATTTTTTTTCGATTCTATTCTATTTGAATTAGAATTTATTTCGATTAAGCTCGTTTAATTTCTAATTGATTATTTTGTTAATGAAGGCTGCTAGAAAATCAGCTCCTACTACTGGAGGAGTCAAGAAGCCTCATCGTTACCGTCCTGGAACTGTCGCTCTTCGGTAAATATTCAATTTTGTATAATCTTCAATTATTATTTGAATCAAATTACAATTGTGCTGATTATTTGAATTTTTTTATGATCAGTGAAATTCGCAAATACCAGAAGAGTACTGAGCTTTTGATCCGCAAACTCCCCTTCCAGCGTCTTGTTCGTGAAATTGCCCAAGATTTCAAGGTAAAAATCAATTACAATTTAATTAAAATTGTTGTTTGTGTTATTGGGAATTGTTGCTGATTAGGGTTTTGTGTTGTTGATGATGAACAGACTGATCTGAGGTTCCAGAGTCATGCTGTATTGGCACTTCAGGAGGCGGCCGAGGCATACCTTGTGGGTCTGTTTGAGGACACCAACTTGTGCGCCATTCACGCTAAGAGGGTGACTATCATGCCCAAGGACATTCAATTAGCTCGTCGTATTCGTGGCGAGCGTGCTTAAGTTGATCGAAGAAGGATGATGAGTAGCAGTTTTTAGGATGAGTTTGATAGATTAAGTTAAAGAAAGATATAGCAGCATTTAGTGGGTCTGTTGGTGTGGTGGTGTATATACTCTATACCTACTTGGGTGATATGTTTTGAAATACATTGGATACATGTTTTATGGTTTTCGGATTTGTTTTGAACCAATTAATTGAAATGCTTTAGTTATTGCATCTGAATTCATCTCTTTTCTTTCTGTTTGCTCTGTTGTGTTTTGTTGATGGATGTTTGATTATTCACTACGTATCTCATCTTATGTTTTGTTGTGGTTATTCGACGATTGTGTGACATTGTTTAGATATTGATCAAGTAAGATGGCCTGATTGATTTGTTTCAAATGTTGAGTTCTTCCATGGTGTTGGAGTAGTTAAGATTTGTTCTCGTTTGTTACGAATCCCATTAAAAGTGTTAAAGCTACTCTGGGTATGGGTGGTATGTACAAACTACTAAGCTGTAAGCTTTGATGTTTTCTGCTGAACGAGCTGATAACGCAGTTGGTGTACAATCTACACTACGTTCTGGGTAAAATACAAGATGAGTTTAGGGGTATGGTTTTAAGGGGAGAGCGGGGTAAGGCTGTAGAATGAAAGATGAGTTGAACACCGCAAAATTATGTTGGTCTAGGGCCGGATTTTTATTTTTTTTTTCTTCCAAAACTTAAGCCTAAACTTTGTATATAACAACCAACCTTATCTCCTTTACAACTCCAATTAAAGAGGGCGAAAGTAATAGTGATTTTAATTAAGAAATATGTAATGCTTCTAAATTCATGTTAAATTCAATTGTTTTGACTTCGTAATTGAGTGATTAATCATTCCGTGTTTAAATAATAGAAGAAAAAAAATAAGTGAGCCACATTTGTCAAATCAAAATGGGTAGTGTTAGTCAAACTTTTTAAATTTAGTGGGTAGTTTTTTTTTTTTTTTTTTATAAAATTTTTAACAGAGTAGTTGTTGACAAAATGACCTATTAGGCGGGTAGTTCTTGATAATTTTTCCTTTAACTTAGAACTGAAATGAATATTTTATGAGAGAAGGAAAATAGGAGTGGAACTGAACTGAACTTATTAGAGCTGAAATGAAATGAAAATAATTTGATGAGAATAAGGCCTTAGTGTTAAGTGCTCAAGTCCCGTACCCCATACAAACTATAGTACAATACAAGTGATACAAGTATACAACCAAGCAACCACGTAAATACTCCGAGTAACCAATTTGAAGTGTTGTTCTTGGATCTAACAATTACTCCTATTCATCGAACTTGTACATTAGTCTCACAAAATAAACCTCAGCCCAAAATACAGCTCTTCCATAAACAACCCAAAAGATGAAAAGAAACACAAATGGTAAAAAATATAATCCACCCAAAAAACTAGTAAACAAGCAATCAAAATTGAGAACAAGTACACAAATGTAATGTCTAGCAGATTTTAGGAGATGGCAATAAGGGTGTGTTGAACTTTGAGGGGTGCCCAGTTGATCTTCTTGATTAACGTTCTTCGGCAATCTTCAGTGCCATGTCAGATTGTTGAGTAAGCACTTGATGAGTAAGCAACCGAGTCATATTTTAAAAACTACACATGGGCAGACACTAATCTAACGGAGCTAATTACAAACAATTTAGCCGTTAGTCATTGAGCCTTTAAGTTATGGTGGAAGAAATATGATAGCATTTAATGTAGTTAGTTGGTGGTATATAGACCAGTCAAAGATAGGTTTTTACTTATCTTACTTCCTTAACAAGTTTTATACTTAACCTCTTCACAAAAATATTCTCAAATAACAATATTAATTTATGAAGCACATTTTAGTGACCGAATTATTTTGTAAGCTATAGATCAATGCAAGATTTGATCTTCCAGGAGAGGACAATCAACCTACCAGATCTAGAAGTTCCTACTGTTTATAAAATTTCTGGTTAGTTGTGTTGCTTAAAATTGTAGTTTGTAATACAAATCTAATTTTGTTTGCATGTACTACGTTTGTATGAAATGTCCTTTCATTTGTTGTTAAAATTGATTATATGAATCTTGTTTAGGTTTATTAAGATATAATTGGATTATACCTAAAGTTAGAACTATGCCATTTATAAGAAGTGAAAAAACTGATGAAATAATATGATGTGGGTATATCATTTATGTTAAAATATGTGTTATGATATTGTATTATACAGTAAATGGACTGAATATTTAACATGGCAATTTTGAAGTTCTTAATGTGAATTTTATGAGAGTACTAATAAATATTTGATGAATTTGATTATTTGTTGTCGATTCATGGACATATATATATATATATATATAGATTCATGGACATATGTATAGATTATTTGGTGAAAGTGTAGCAATTGATGTTATGAGTTAATTAATTTGGTGATAGTCTACCAATTACAAGTGATGGTTAAATTTAACACTCTTTGAGTTCCTTACAAGTGAGGATTACAGGTGGATTTCTTACTGGTGTTGTGGGTAATACATGCAATATTATAATAATGAATTTGTGGAATGGTTTGAATTGAAGTTAATTGTTTTACTTGTATATGTGTGTAGATTAAATTAATATTAAGCGGTTTACACAGAATTAATTATGTAAACGGTATAGTGACTTTGACACAATGCATGCAGGTCCTCTTTGAGGTAAAACGATTTGATACATAAAATGGTTGAAGGAAGTGAAAATGTGGAGGTTCATGAGATTGTTAGTGAAGATGGCATTGATGACCCGTATGGTGATCAATGCATGTCTCCCTTCAACACAGTCGGAGATGAGGGTGGCTATGAGGAGGAGAACAATAATCAATTTATGTCTCCTATTAACACAATAGAGACATTAGACACTGTTGTTGGTAGTAATGACGTGAGTATTATGAAATGTGTTGAACCCCCTAAGGTTGGAATGATTTTTAAGAGTTGGCAAGATGTCGAGTCATATTATAAAGAATATGCCGAACAACAGGGATTTGGAGTCTGTAGACCACAAGGTGTGTATTCAAAAGGCGAGGTAAGAGAACGAATTGCAACTACATGGAAGTGTGAATGTTGGGATAGACCGGATATGAGAGCGACAAGGGAAGCGAAGAAAGGGGCAAAGTCTATGGATGTATCTGGTTCAGGCGGTGTGGTTGGGGGTTTCATGTGTGTGGATGATTTAAGCCAACGGAAGAGAAAGTCTAAAAAATGCGAGTGTATGGCAAAGGTATATGCTAGTCTTAATCATGATGGGGAGTGGGAGATTAAGAAAGTGCATTTGGAACATAATCACAACCCGACACCACGTAAATCAAAGCTAGTTAAAGAGTATCGAATGAGGGGCCTTACCTCAAGAACTAGGAGGAGGTTGCTTGACTATTTTGAAGAAGGTGTGCCCATTGCACAGATTCATGGTTGCTTTGCGGCTGAGGTGAAAGGGCTTGATAACCTTGAATTTACTGTGAAAGACTTGTCGCATGTTGTATATAAGGAAAGGAGGCTCAAAATGGCCGGGGGTGATGCAGCAGCGTTGATGAATTATTTTAAAAAAATGCAAGATGGCAACAACAATTTCTATCACTCTGAACGCTTAGACCCAGAGGGCCGTTTGAGAGATGTTATTTGGGTTGATGGGCGTAGCCGTGCCGCATATGAAGAATTTGGTGATGTTGTCTGTTTTGATGCCACGTATCTAACAAATGAGTATGAATTACCATTTGTTAATTTTGTGGGTGTAAACCACCACGGACAAACCATATTGTTAGGATGCGCATTGGTTTCCCGTGAGGATTGTGACACATTTAGATGGATATTTGAGGAGTGGTTGAGATGTATGAATAATCGAGCTCCTGCTGCAATTCTCACTGACCAGGCGGCCGCCATGAGGAAGCCGTTAGAGGAGGTAATGCCTTCTACGCGGCATAGATGGTGCATTTGGCACATTATGAGAAAAATTCCCGATAAATTGGGCAAATGTGCAAGGTAAGTATTCTAATTGTGTTTCTCTATTCCTTCATACTTATAATTGTTTATAATTTAATCATCCAAATATGTACATTTCATTCTTGGAAGTTATTTTCATTCTTGAATTTTTTTTTTCTTACGTACATCTAACAGTTTAATAATGAGTAATAAGGTTATATACAATTAATGGATTGTAATGTAACAAAAAATAAGTCATTGTCTTGTATAACGACAAAGTAGAATACATAATCAATATTGAGTAATTAGTCATTAGCCATGGGCCTGCTCTAGTACAGGACCCCTAGATTAAAGTATGATCTGGTGAGATGAATTGTTTTAATACCAAGTTGTTGATTTAAATAACTTCTTTATGTTTTATGTCTTATTGTTTTATTTTTATTTTAGCAAAATTCCCAAAAATTGTATTATATATCTGAATATTAAATGACATATTAATATGTATAGGTACAAATATTTCAAGGGTGTTTTGAAGGCTATAGTCTATGAAAGTCTGACCGTTGATGAATTTGAGACAAGGTGGGCATCTTTAGTTGATGACTTTAATTTGGAAACAAATGATTGGCTAGCAAGCCTCTATGTTGAGCGTCATATGTGGGTTCCGGCATTCATGAAAGAATATTTCTGGGATGGGATGAAGACAACTCAAGGGGTTGAGAGTATTAACAGTTTCTTTGATGGATATGTTAATCGTAAAACCAAACTCTTTGAATTTCCCCAGAAGTATGCGAAGGCCATGGATAAGCGCGTGAGAGATGAGACAGCTGCTGATGCAAATTGTGCAAAATATGTAAGGAGGATAGTCACTGGATTCACTGTGGAGAAGTATTTTCAAAGTAAGTACACCGACAACAAGTTTCAAGAGGTGTTTACTCGATTGATGTACTGTAATTGTAAAGTGAATAAAATGTTGGATGAAAATACAATTGAGTATGCGGTTGAAGATCGTGTTTGGATTGTACCCGAAGGAAAGAGTGAGGAGGTGTTAACTAATCGGAGAAGGTATTTGACAACAACTTTTAACAAGGTCACAAAAGAAGTTATCTGGCAATGCCATAAATTTGTAACACATGGAATCATGTGCAACCATATGATGCAGATACTTGAACACAATGTTGTGGTTGAAATACCAGAGATGTATGTTGTTAATCGTTGGAGGAAGGATATTTTAAGGAAACACACTTGAGTAGGGGTTTCTTATCATGACCCTAATAAATATGCGGCTGTGAAAAGGTACAACAGGTTGATGGAGGATTTTGAACAACTATGTGATGCTGCAGCTATGGTGAATGACGATGCTGTTGTTGACACTGTAAGTAATGCTTTGAAACAATTAAGGTCTGAAATTGAAGAATGCAGGTTAAGAAAGGCAGCGGAGAGTATTTTCATTTCATTTCCAAGTGAAGGAGCACATGGTTCTTGTGTCATATTTGGTAACTCGTCAAATGCATTTTCCTCGGGCCAGAATGCAACTCATCCAGAGGAAAATGCAACTGATGTAAATTTGGATAATTCGGATGTGTCTCCTCCTAGTGATATGAGAGTAAAAGATCCGGTATTAAATAAAAAACCTCGGGGTAGGCCGAAGGGATCAAGAAATAAAACTCTCGCTGAATTGGGATTCAAGAAACCGGGAAAAAATAAGAAGCAACCAAGAAAGTAATGCAATGATAAAAGCGACCATGGTAACAATGATTCGTTTACAGTTGTTGGGAAGAAAAACAAGAAAACATCAGTGAAGGTGCACGATGGGAAACAAAGTATTACTAAGGGAAAAGGTCTAAAATTGCGAAATTCTGGAATCAAAGGTGTAACTAAAGGCAAAGTCAATGGACATACAAAAGCAAAACAGATGGATAAAACTTCAAAGGTATCATGTACTTAATATTTCCCAAAGCAGCGTTTTTGTTTGTGACTTATTGATTTTGATTACGAATTAATAACTTTTATGGTTGTGTTTGAAATTTAGGCCGTGCAAAAGTTGAAATCTCTTAATGATTTGGTTCCCCTTGTACACCCTCCTACAAAGGTATGAATTATACATGTTTGATACCATTGAATATATAATTTTCATTATCATTGAATTAATAATCATTTCACAAATTTCTATGATCCAAATATGTCATAGCAGAAGCGTAAAGGCACAAAATCAAAGAACAGTGAACATCAAACACAAGATTCAACTGCTGGAATAAAAAAACGAAGAATTTAAAGGCCTCTTGCTTGCTGAGTGCTGAACGTTAGAGCATGAATAATAATCCATTGCGAATTTGTGTTATGTAACAGTTAGACTATGTTCCTTTTAAATTTCAAATTCAGACTTTGTTTCCTATGAATTTCAAATTCAGAGTATGTTTCAATTGAATTTATGTTATGGGTTTAGTACAATTGAAGGTTTAAATTTCTTGGTATTCTCTTTTACTAATTTTATTCCATCAAATTCAAAGGACGAGCACGTGTTCTCGGATGATTCATGTGTTATCGGAATAATACAAGAATATGATTACCTATGTTCAAGATGTTATGCATCATTTGACCAACTAACCTAATATCTAATTGTTCAATTATCATAATGAATGGGGTTGTACTTTTGGGCCTCTTAACTACCACAAAGGGCCTTCGATTTTTTTTGGCCTTACGATTTTATTTGGACTAAAAAATATTCAATTTCTTATCACTCATACATGACTATTTTTTTTGTAAAAATTAAACTGAAGTATATTTACATTTTTACAATTATTTTACAATTTCAGTAGTTATTTATTAATAATAGGATTGTAATAATAACCACAAACTTGATCAAACAAAACACAGTTACTTGTTTTAGTTAATACTCATTCATACAACAAAGATTTAAACATAAACCGAATACAACATAAATTCATACAACATAGATTTAAACATAAACCGAATACAACATAAAGTGATAATGTTAAAGCTTAACTGATTAAAGCATAAAGCGATAATATGAAAATTAGTAGTTATTCAAACCATACTACTTCAAACTTAATACAGAAAACATGGGATTTTAAATTGTGGATGACTTGGGATCTTGTTTCTTGCTACTTTCAGGTGATGCAAAAAGGAATACTTGAACAACCAATCCCTCTTTTGTAATCAAATGATTCTTCGGATAAATCATCCAAGTTAATCTTTTCGGTACAAATAGGAGGAACATCTTTTAAACCTCGGCGGATGAAAATTGGAACATTAATTTTGATCCTTTTAGTTTCACCTCCAGCCGCTACTTTCTCTTCCCAAGTAACTCCTCTCCCTAGTTGAACACAACCTTTAAAACGGACTTTCCTCTTTCTCCTAGATCTAGTACTAGAATTTGAACCTTCGGAACTGCTACTTGAATCACTACTCATAGGCAATTGTTTTTTACGCATTATAACTCTCTCTGGTCTCCATCTCTTGTATTAGACTAGATTAATACAAGAATTTTTATAAATGTTAGACCTTTTAAGACCAATTAGCTTATTTGTGAACATTTGAACATGAGAATCTTCTATCTTCACATTATTTTGGCCTTTAGCTATTAATCCCATCCTTTTACCAAGAAGGTTTTGCATGTCATTAACATTAACTCTACATTCATCCTTTTCATGCCCAATTCTACCACATACAGTACAAAATACAAAAACATGTTCATAACGTAGGTAAACCCACACAAACTCACCTGGGATCGCCTCAAAATAAAAACCAGGAAATAGCGACAATCCTAGTGGTATACGCATTTTTACCCTTAGGAATTCCATTGTCCCCGACCCTAATGATTCCTCATCAAAATAAATAACTTTACCAATTTCATTCAGAATGGGAGTCACGAACTTCGGATACGCTGCAACTATAGGTAATCCTTCTACACGTACCCATAAACAAGCATACTTAAAGTCGAAAGACTGCACAGATGCTTGTGGAAACCAGGGAGTCATCACGAACAATGCACCTTCCAGAGAAGCTGATTCTTGATCAACAAGATAATCTCTATCTCTGATATCAGCGCAGTGAAGCATGAATTTTGAACCAACTTTCTCCACAACTATTTTCCCATTAGTTCTCCATCTACGAAAAATCCAATCTTGTACTCTCCTTTGAGAGAAACTTCTATCGTCGATAAAATTTCCCACCACCACCATTGGGTAGACGCGGTCAGATGGGCGTGAGGGTTGGTCTTTTAACCAAACTATTGGTGCGTGTCTGGTCAAACCTCTTGGAGAAATTAGGCAGCCCCCGTAATTGTGGTTTGCATGGGGGGTATTCATTGTGAAAATGGGAAGTTTAGGAAGTTTTTTTGGTTTGTATAGCTCATATTATGGAACCGGTTTTTAGATAAGTGAATTCCTAGTTCTTGGAATATAAAGGGTATGGGAAAGTTGATCTACGGGTGGTGATTAGCGGTGGTATGGTTAATCTTATCAACACTTAGCATTGTTTTTATAGGGCCAAATGTATTATATGCAAAAATGATAGTGATTTGTCTTTTTTTTTCACATGACTTTTCTATTTTTATTTATTAACTTGTAAGTGTTGAATTCTTGAAATTGGAATTGGATTGACTTAATTGTATATATATTGACTTTTATTGTTGTTTAAGTGGAACTACAATTATAATCTAACAAGTTATTTTTAAATTAATCCAACTTCATTATTAATTTTTGAACTAATATTCTTCATCCATATCAATTAATTTTAATATTGAGATCAGATTATAGTAATATCACTAGTTTGATTAATTATCAATTAAATTTAACAATATAATTACACATAACAACCATAAATTTGGTTGACCAATTACTGTTTGAAAACTATGACATGCTTGAAGTTGTTGTTTCTTGTTGGACTTGTTTATTGGATACAATTAATATTCCCAATATTCTTTTTTATCTATTCAATTATTAGTTAATTGCTTCTATCTGTTGCACTAATTTAAGTATTTAACGAATAACAAAATTGGTACATATTTCTTGCTTCAGGTATTTATAAATCCTTACTCACATGTACAAGTACACATCATTTTTATATAAACTACAATATATAATCAGTGTATACGACTTAAATATTGTGCAAACTTGAATGACCACAAATGTCATAATGTATTTCGAAATTCTGGTGTTATACAAGTATAATTGATACATTACAGATAAATAGAATAGAATAGAATAGTTTTGTACAGTAATATATAGAGAATGGAACTTGGAGGGCAAAGGCCAAATATTCCCAAGTTAAACACATAATATCCTAATAATAATATTTAAAAAATATTGACCTGTTTCTCAAATTATTTTAATAATAATATTAACAAAATATTACCCCGTTTGTCAAATTATTTTAATAATAATATTACCAAAATTCCCAACTGTTATGTTTCAAAAATATTAACAAGTAGTTAATTCATTTCTAAATTTTAAATTTTACTTCCTTTTTTTTTTATTGTTTTTACATTTTTTTAACAAATATTTAACTTTACTAATTTACTTGTATAAAAAATACTCATAAATTTAGTTATTATATAATAACCACAAATCATGCGACAACTAATAATTATTTTTGACTACATTGAGTAATCGCACTATTTTAAAAGACAAAACACAAATAACTGATTTTATATAATTAAAGTTTACACACATAATAAAGTAGTATAACTACTAGAACAACTAACAGTAGACAAACTTAAAATCTAAACATAAATTAACATAAACAAGAACTAATTTTTAAACATAACACTTATATTTTTAAATACTAATACTATTGTAATCTACCCACATAATATATCCGAATAAAGGTCGTCCCTTCAGAAATTATCCCATCTTCATAGCTTATGGTTGCGGTTAGTGATCATCACTTTCATCTACAGTATAAGAAGCATAAAACAAATTATTAAATGAATTTTGATGACTCAGTAAAATAACAACCTTCACAGTTAACTATCGCAGTAAAAAGATAAATTTATAAAGAAAATCATATAAAATAAATATGCACCAAATATATAATAATAATAATAATAATAATAATAATACACTAATATTAGGTTTGGAAGTATTAAACAGATTACCTCCATCTATGGCATCACAAAACACTTGAAAACAAATCCAAGTTTCCACCAAAACCTCACCCTTTTTGGCTTTGCATCAACATCAAGAATGTTGAGAACATCCAGATCTGCTTCTAATACCAACTCTGGACATGCATTCGATGGGTTGCAGGTGTTAATTCCCTCATCAACAATTTCTAAACTCAATAGCTCACCCAATGTACCCATACCATCAAAGAAACCGTTCGAACCACATCTCGAATGAGTCGGTGTGGGGTTACTCTCAATCAAACCTGGATTGGTGAAAATATCTGGAGACAAGATCGGAAAGGAAAAGCTATCAACTCTTTTCCCTACCTTTTTTCCACGCCTGTGGAAGTTGTGTGGTAAAGGCTCGAGGGTTGGTGATTGAATTTCGGTAGCATCAACCAGGTCGACATAGTTTTGATGATTGATAATTTCCATCATTAGCAAATTATCTAAGTCTTCTTCGGATGATGGGATTATATAACCAAGGGGGTTGAAGGGGTCGTATTGATCGCGGTTTGGCAACAACAGACGACCCCTACAACATTGCCTGCGGCTTGTTGTTGGTACCATGGTTTTCAAAAAACGTTTTTATAATTTTTAAGGGGTTGACAATGGAAGTAGAAAAATATATAAGATAGGGTTTATTTACTCTGCTATATTGCTATATACTCTATAAATAGTGGAGAAGAAGAGAGTTATGTGTCAGTACATTAAAGATGTTGGAGTTATATTTGGGGTAAATATTAGAACGAGTAATTACAATTACGGTCCCAAGACACAGAAAGAATATGATAGATTTTATTTTTTTAGAGCTTTTTTGGTGCTGCCAAATCAGTAAAAATAACGGATTATGTGCATATAACGGGGTTACTATTCACTCGCATAACGGGGTTACTGGTTTTGTCAGTGTTACTTGTATTTTTTTAGGGGTTATTACTTGTATTTTTTTTTTTCAGGGGTTACTTGTATTTTTTTTCCAGGGGTTACTTGTATGGATTACTTATTCAGGGGTTACTTGTATTTTTTTTCACAGGTTACTTGTATTTATTACTTATTCTTGGGTTACTTGTATTTTTTTTTTCAGGGATTACTTGTATGGATTACTTATTCAAGGGTTGCTTGTATTTTTTTTTCAGGGGTAACTTGTATTTTTTTTTCAGGGGTTACTTGTATTTTTTTTTCAGGGGTTACTTGTATGAATTACTTATTCCGGGGTTACTTGTATTTTTTTCAGGGGTTACTTGTATGGATTACTTATTCACGGGTTATTTGTATTTTTTTTCAAGAGTTACTTGTATTTTTTTTCAGGGGTTAGTTGTATTTTTTTTCAAGATTTACTTGTATTTTTTTAAAGGGGTTACTTGTATTTTTTTTTCAGGGGTTACTTGTATGGGTTAATTCAAGGGTTACTTGTATGAGTTACTTATTCAAGGATTACTTGTATGAGTTACTTATTCAGGGGTTACTTATATGAGTTACTTCAAGGTTACTTGTATGAATTACTTATTCAATGGTTACTTGTTGCTTATTCAAGGGTTGCTTGTAAGCCCCATACCGCAAACCAGTAATACCCTACAAATAACCCTTGAGCAAAACTAGTAACACCCTACAAGTAATCCTTGACCAAAACCAGTAACACCCTACAAGTAACCCCTGACCAAACCAGTAACACCCTTACCAAACCAATAACACCCTACATGTAACCCCTGACCAAACCAGTAACATCCTACAAGTACCCCTGTCCAAACTAGTAACACCCTACAATTTTTGACGTAGAATGTTCGATCTAAGATTCCACGAAGAAAACGAGCTCACATTTCTTTGGTTCTCATCGATTTCACTACTTCAAATGTTGTTGATGATCTTAAGGATAATTAATCACAATTTTTCACAGCAATTTGACACCCAATTTCTACAATTTCGGACTTTAATTACACCAATTTAGCAAAGAGGAGAGAGAAAATGGGTGGAGTAGAGATATGGTTGTTTGTGATGTGTGGTTTGGCTTGAAGAAGAAGCTAAGAAAAGAGGAGAGAGAAAATGGGTAGAG